CTGTAGTAGGGAAGTCTGAAGTAGGTGAAGAAATAATTTAGAGACAGATCTAAATAAACAAATGTGTTTAAATAAATTATTTTAATTAAATAGAGAAGTTGCTTTCAGTGATCAATTGATTACAATCATCTCAACCCTGATCTGCACCCAAAATGGTTGATGGTATACTCATATATTTAGTGACTCAGTAAAATGAGAGCACTAAAACCATAAGTATTCTCAGGGTTGAGATGATTTTAAATAATTGATTAAAATCAATCTGATTTTCTTTGAAATAAAATCATGATTAATTTTAGAAAATGAAGTCACTTGGACACTTAAAAATGTATTCATTTATAAAAGAAGTAAAACTAGAAACATTTTTATGTTAATATTTATTGTCTATTATAAAAATTAAAAAGAAATTTAGCTGCTTAACTTTTAAAAAATTTTTAATATCATACAAAAACGAGAACTGCACTAAAAAAAAAGTAAATATTGTTGAACTCTTATAACACCAACTCTGTTTCTTATATCTGAACATGATTTTACCCGCGGCTTCGCTCGCGTTGATGTACTAAATAAGTCTCCTAGATTATCGATGATCACATAAAACTAATTCAATTTGTTTTCTATCTTTCGGGAACAATATTTTTTCTGGATGAAAGGTACCCTATGTGCTTTTCTGTACTCCGTTGTTTATGCGTGTACAAAATTTCATGATAATTGATTGAGTAGTTAAGACGTGAATTCGACCAAACAAAACTAATTTTTCTATCTTTCGAGAACAGTATTTTTTTCTTGATAAAAGATACTCTACTTTTGTACTTTTCTGTACCCTAGAAAAATCATCGATATGAGATGATACCAACTCAGTTAAGCATACTTAAAAAAAAAAGATCAAACAACAACAGGATTATATTAATTGGGAAACAGTTTCTAAAAATCTTCCACTATGTTTTGAAGGATTTGAAAATAAAATAGTTGTTTTGCATTGTACGGAAATATTATATTATTCAACGACCCAAAAATGTCTGCTATCATGTTCTCACTTACCCTTCATATAAAAAAGTTCAAACGTGTAAATTCATGGCAGATGTAACACTAGCTGGCAATATATCGTTTATTAGTCACGCCTATGGTGGTCGAACCAGCTATAAAGCTATATTCAATGATTGTGGTATAACAAAGTTATTGGAATCTGGTAATCGCGTAATGATAGACAGAGATAGAGGATGCATGTGCAGCAAATAAATGGATAATGTATGTGCCTTTTTTAAAGAAAAAAAAATCAATTTTCTAAAGCAGAATCGATCGAAACTGCGAAAGTAGCAAAATGCCTAGTTTTATACTACCAAATAGTTGATGATATTTTTACTATTATATGTGCAACAGTAAATTTAATATTACGAATTATAGAAAAAAAAAGACAACATTGAAATTATGGACGTATACATAAGTCAATGATTAACAAGACAAATCTGGTATAAAACAAAAGGATTTATTAATTTGTAATTTAATTAACAACTTGATATGTATTAAACTTTATAACAAGNCGTGCAAATGATGGAAGTGTGTAGACGAAGCGATTACAACGGCTCAAATTCCGGTTCTCATCATCAACCGTCCCAACAGGCACCCTCACTTGTGGCAAATTTTGTACCGAATTCTAACGGTAATGTGACCTTCACTATAAACAATCAGCTTACGAGCCAGGTACAAAGGCTGGTAAGGGAAAGGTCAGGTTACGATAACTTGGTAAGTTTATTTCAAATATGTATGATTTAACAATACACATATTCATTTACAATCATTTTGTTTCAGTATCAAATATATAATGGCCGTTCAGTCGGTCGACAATATACAACGGGAAGTCGAGCAGATCCTTTCCAACATCAGCTCGTTTCAAGTATCCTGTGTCCAGCAAGTTATCAAGGAATGGGAGGGTCACCTGCAAAACATGTGACGGTGGTACAACAACCTCCTCTTCAGATTCAACCTCCGATACTAAGCCAGCCTGGTCAACAACAATACGTGCCCGTTAGCGTAATGGAACCAAGCGGAAGACAAATGTTGCTCACGGTTAGTTCTGTCTTTTTATTTTTGTAATAATTTAATACTCTATGGCATATTGTACATTAATCTCATGGACTACGAAATAATATAGGGACGGAGGATAAAGAGTGATAATAGATGGGGGGAGTGAGACCTCTCAGGAGAGGAAGGATTAGTAATGCCAATTCACTTGTGTCTACTAGTTTAATGACTTATGAGCCTTTCCGTTACTTGGTTACGATGAATGAAAATGCACTTCGAAATTTATAAATTTATTTTTTTGTATTATTTCACTGATTCAGAGGAAGTAACAGAAATAAGTGCGGAGTTTTGGAGAGTGTAAATTAGATGCAAATAAATAATCGCATGGTGAGTTCAGCAACGTGGTTAATCTGAAGCTAATTCTGTAAAAGTATTGAAGCTACATCGGCGGAAAATGTAATTACCGATTATCGAACGTTCAAGGTAAACAAACAAGTCGGCAATATTATTGGTAATATTGTAGTAGTTGGCGCTAATTGACAGAAATCCGTGAATTTATAAATATAGTAGTAAGATTGTAATATTCCTGTTTTGATAATAATCCTGCGACAGTTGCACAGTATGAGTAACAAATAAAATATAGTCACACGGATGTCAATGTTAAAATCACCGAGAATGAAAAGGTTATCATTGTGCTTATTTGATAAAAAAATTTCATTAATATTTTTAATAAAGTTAACTTTATTGATCTTGTGTTATTTATACAGGGTGTTAAAAAAACATCGTATTTGTTATACATATATCGGAAAGAGCGTAAAATTTTAAGAAAAAAGTTATCAATATAGTTTTACGATTAGATGCATTCTTACAGAGTTATTAAGATTCAAAGTTTAATCAAAATAATCAAAATCTCACTTTTAAGTGTTTAATCATTAGTACATGCAGTTGTTTTTGGACACATTTACTTTCTAAATTAAATAAATGCATTTGATGTTTGCTTTTTTAGGGAATGCGTGACATGTTTATTCAATCCCAACAACTGGGAACAGATACTACTGGTGGACCTGTGCAATCTAAAAAACGAAAACTTGAGCATCATAGCAACGATAATCAGTCGACAGAAGCATTTCAACAACACCATCATCATTCTCATAACGTGTTTTATAACCATCATCACCACCACCAGCCAGCTGACGTGGTGGTAAATAATGTTAGTCCAGAAAATGATAACGTTGTCAATAATAATGACAGCAATCAATGTACATTTGTTAGAACATCAACCATCAAATTATTAGATACTTATCAACGGTGCGGCCAGAAGGTAAGCCAATTTTTTATTTCTTGTAATTGTTTAAAAATTAATTCTTATTGTTGAGTAAAAGAATTGGGACGCTGATACAAATCATTTAAACAGTATGATTTTTATTATTACTACAAAAGCATGTATGTTGCAAAATGTGAGACATACAACATTATCCAATTCCGCTAAAACAGTAAAAATAAAACTAAAACTTAAAAAAAACAACTATACTACACAAAAAAAAAACGTAATATGTGTTATGAGTTAAATGAGCCCATACTTTACACCATATGGATATATTAATTCTTTGGAAATTTATTTAAATAGTTTTAAATTGTTGGTTCCATCTAACGCATTTAGAAATTCCCTATTCGTATTAAGTAACTTTTATGATTTGAACAGCATAGATTTATGCCGGTGGCGACATACCAATAACAATAATTTTCATCTTGTTTTTTATATTTAGCGGAAAGCTTGGTCGCAGGAAGGTAATGGTGATAGTAGAGGAGCTCAACAAAATAAAAATAACACAGACGGTATCAGTAATACAATCATCACGACGGCCCACAGCAAAGTCACTGCGGCCGCGGGGGCCAACCCTCAGCCGCAAGGTAACTTTTAAATGCAATAATTAAATATAGTGCATCCAACGAATTTTGATATTGTTATCGATTTAGTATTGTAAATTTTAATATTGAACATACTACCACTTTTCTGCCAATTTTGTTACCACATTACAAACCCGTTGTTACATGTAAAACTGGTTGACATATTATCGTTTTCTTTTATTTTTGCATACCATTGTGTACCTACATAAATTCAAAAATGCTTTTATATCGTTATAAAAATATGGCATATCCTCGTACTACATGTGATGCTTGTTATGTGGTGTGCGTGACAGAATGGCCAGAGGGTGATAGCGTGGGGGTGGTCTTTGCAGCAGGCGGTGGTTCCGGAAGTGGCTCTGACGGAGACTATCAGCTTGTACAGCACGAGGTTTTGTATTCCATGACTAATCAGTACGAGGTACTTGAGTTTTTGGGGCGTGGTACTTTCGGCCAAGTAGTGAAATGTTGGAAGAAGGGTACAAACGAAATCGTGGCCATTAAGATCTTGAAAAATCATCCTTCTTATGCCAGACAGGTTTGCATATAAATTGTTTTTATATATGCATATTAAAATTTTTTCAATTTATTGTTACTCCGTAGGGTCAAATTGAAGTGAGCATTTTGTCAAGACTTAGTCAGGAAAATGCAGATGAATTTAATTTCGTCCGTGCATATGAGTGCTTTCAACACAAGAACCACACGTGCCTTGTGTTTGAAATGCTTGAACAAAACCTGTACGACTTCCTCAAACAGAACAAGTTCAGCCCTCTACCTCTTAAGTATATCAGGCCTATTCTGCAGCAAGTACTTACTGCGTTGCTGAAATTAAAGGTATTTATTACAATTCGCAGTTTTCATTTTATTAAAATGGTCCTTAAATACAAACAAGCTCCATAGAGCTATTTCAGTGTTTTATAGAAAACACAACTTGTTTATTTATTATTTATTACGAGTCATCCTTCTTAAATCAGCAAAATTTTCATTAGTGTCGGGAAAACTATATACTATTTATGGCTAACCTAGACAATCTTAAATAAAATTTAAATACATACTGATCCTACAGTTTACATTTTTCAACACTGCAAAAGTTAAATTTTGTAATACAGTTGGTTTTCACAAAATTCATTAAATGGCTTAAGAAACAGAAAACCGGATTGCTTGTTATATCCAATGGTAGTGAATTGAAAGATCTATTTGCCGGTTAAATGATACGTATATATTATTCGCATTTCAAGTCTAATCATGAGACTGGTCGTTTTTGAAAGTAGTGTTATTCTATTTTAATTTCTCGTTGAATATTTTAAAAATATAATTGCAATTTTTAATAAATATCAATTGTTTAACTGTCTTAGAATCATAGTCTTTAAGAGTTCCACTGTATTAGTTCTAACGTCCTTTTTAAAAAGGATCTTTACTACTTTATCCTGCAACACTGGCACCATTTTTATATTAGTTTCACTGCAACTACTTCAAATGTTAATTAGGTAGGTACAGTAAGTTAGATAAAATATATGCATTATATATTTAGTAACTATTTTGATTTTGTTTTTTTTATACGTAAGCATCTGTAAATTGCCACTATTTGTATAAACGTTCATTTCTCATCAATCAAAAACCCCAAATATTTACTACTGATAATTTTATTTTTTCTGGAAAACTGTTAGAGATAAATATTTAAAACCTTATAGTAGTAGAGAGAACATTTAATTTCGCATTGAACGGTATCTTTTAATTTGTCATTCCATTTGAAAAAACTCGTCTTATACAATTGTCAAAAGTAGGTTTCGATATTTCTGGCTCTGACTAGCATACACATTTTGCGCGTAGCAAAAAAGATACTTTTTGGGTTATGTTCTGAAATTTCTACTTCATTATTTACTACTTTTTGTTGCACCACAGACGCTTTTTCTGCTGTCAGTTGGTCATTAAAGCCTAAATTCGCACAACAAATGTAACGTTTGTGCATATTCCATTTAGCATCTTGTAGAAATCATAAATTTCGATTGTTGCATCTTCTACTTCAGTTACGGAATAGCGAAAATCAACGCTAAACAATGCAATAAAAGTGGGTACATTTCGATTTGCTCACATTTCGATACGACGTGGACATTTCTATTCGATTTTATAAAGCTACAGAATCGCACTGAATATGTATTGTTAATTTATACTACTTATACTTTTTTTTTATGCTTTATTGAAACAAGGTTATTTACACTAATAATTAAATCATATCCTTTTTCACCTTTTTCATGCTGAACTTATTAACATAAAACTTCTTTTGTACTATATATAGGATGTGACGTTTATAATCAATAATGTTTTAAAAACAGGTTCCTCGTGACATTTGGAACATAAAATGTAACAATTTTGACCTTAATAAAGAAAGTTAGTAGTCAGAATCACTAGTCCGTTTTCCGTTTGGTGTTAGTTATTAGTTATTCTTTTGTTTTTTTGGGATGGTGTTATGGAGTTATTTATGTTTTATTAAAAATAAAGAGGATGTTGCAAAAAGTACGTATAAACTGTTTAACTAAAGAAGATTGGAAATTAATAATTTCATTTATTTAAATGCATTTAAATAGCTTGTATCCCCCCCCTTTCACCTACTATGCCCCTTGTGAGTGTAATGCATTTATATCACTTTTAGTTACTTTAGTGTTGACATGTCGAATGTCTACGTGACTGGCGAGAGTTATAGTTTTGTTCTTTTTAATAATACTATTTACATTACGTTTCTTGGTAGGTAAAATAATAGTTGATCAGATGATCGTACGTACATGTACATGTACATGTACATACGTATGGAAAACCAATCTTTACAGTTGTTACTATTGGTCCCAGTTGTGAAACGTGTGGTATGTGAGATGTAACCTCGTACTCATCCGATATGTAATCATTTACTCCTAACAACAGGTGTCTGTCTGTTAAATACGACCGAAACATTTCAAACTCTTGCCCCTCATTCCATGTTGCTTTAATTTATAAAAGTCTCGTCGACCATATCGAAAGCTTGTGTATATTGTATATGCATCTACACCTTGATTCATTGCGTCTAATATATGGTTAATGTACAGGTAGAGGTTTGTGGTGGTGGATCTGCCATCGATGAAGCCATATTGTATTTTTAAATGTAAATGTTAATTGCGGTAAGAGAACTTCCTCAAATGGTTTAGCGATGGATGACTGGATGCGACCAAGTCTATAGTTACATCACTTCTAGAGTCAGCGTTATGTATCGGATTGTTAAAAGATGCTTTTCATGCTATTAGGAAGGTACCTGATTGCAGTGATTTCTAAATATGTGAGTGATTGGTCTAGCGAGTCCAGCGGCGCAAGTTTTAGGAAATTGATAGGGTATTCCATCTGATCCAGCCCCTTTTTTGCATCCAATTTTCTTGACTGTACAAAGACATCGTCAAGCTCAACCTTCAGCTCTGACAGGTTGACATTATGGTTGGCTCATTGTTCTTCGGTTCGGTTCATATGCGTAGAGACATCCGTATCAGTCTTATAAATACTTTTGAAGAACGATGCGAATAGATTACTTACATCGCTTTCGTTGCTGGCTCCATTATAATTATCCTAGGTCATTGAGGACGGGGTATCAATATAGTTTTTTCTTTTATTTGTGATGAAATTCCAAAATTTACCGACCAATTTACCAATTTTATTATATTCTCCTTGTTGGCTACGTATTTATCACACCATTCATGGTCCATTTTTTGCATCCCTGCCTTAATTTATGAAAGTGATTGTAGACAGCTGTAAAGTTTGTCTTTTTATATTTAGCATGAGCAATTTTTTTGTTTGATTTTGTTTATTAGTTCCTTCAAAGACCAGCGTGGAAACCAGCGTGGATTGTAATATTGTTTTTCATGAATATTATAAATTTCATTCAATTTCCAGAAAGTATTTGTTGTATAATATTAAACTGAACGCACAACGCAGTTTATATTTACGTGAAAGGCACAAACTGATTAATGAAGAACATTAAGTTCTTCCTCAATAATGAATACTTCCTTGATATTACTTGAACTTCCGTTTACATTAACAACTTTCATATGATTATGACGTGATGAAAAAACTAATACATGTTGGAAATTCGAATTCAAGTCTTAATAATAAGACATAATTTCTATTTTGTCATTGTTCTTTTCCGAAAGATCTAATAGTTTTCTAAATTAAATTTTGAAGCTTCTATTATGTTCGTTTATTTTTGTAGCAACTTGGCCTCATTCATGCAGATTTAAAGCCTGAGAACATAATGTTGGTTGATCCGGTGAGGCAGCCTTATCGGGTTAAAGTCATAGACTTTGGTAGTGCAAGTCACGTTAGTAAAGCTGTTTGTAATACATATTTGCAATCAAGGTATTATCGTGCACCTGAAATAATTCTGGGACTTCCCTTCTGCGAGGCTATCGACATGTGGTCTTTAGGATGCGTCGTAGCCGAACTTTTCTTGGGCTGGCCTCTATATCCTGGATCTTCTGAATATGATCAGATACGGTACATAAGCCAAACTCAAGGTGCGTTTTCCGAAAGATACCATTAAAATAATGTCTATGATTTTTCTTTTCCTTCCAAGGTTTACCAACAGAACATATGTTAAATAATGCGTCAAAAACGACAAAATTTTTTTATCGTGACATGGACAGCACTTACCCGTTTTGGAGATTGAAAACGCCCGAAGAGCATGAAGCCGAAACTGGAATAAAATCAAAAGAGGCAAGGAAATATATTTTTAACTGTATCGAAGATATCGGTCAAGTCAACGTTCCCAATGACTTGGAAGGCGGACAATTAATGGCCGAAAAGGTTGATCGAAAAGAGTTCATTGATCTCCTAAAGAGAATGCTTACGATGGACCAGGTAAAAACAAACAATTTTTCATCACTTACTAAAATAAGTCTGCATTTTGTTTTGTTATAGGAAAGACGAACAACTCCGGGAGAAGCTCTTAATCATTCGTTTGTACGTTTGGCCCATCTTGTCGACTATGCTCATTGTAACAACGTAAAGGCTAGCGTGCAAATGATGGAAGTGTGTAGACGAAGCGATTACAACGGCTCAAATTCCGGTTCTCATCATCAACCGTCCCAACAGGCACCCTCACTTGTGGCAAATTTTGTACCGAATTCTAACGGTAATGTGACCTTCACTATAAACAATCAGCTTACGAGCCAGGTACAAAGGCTGGTAAGGGAAAGGTCAGGTTACGATAACTTGGTAAGTTTATTTCAAATATGTATGATTTAACAATACACATATTCATTTACAATCATTTTGTTTCAGTATCAAATATATAATGGCCGTTCAGTCGGTCGACAATATACAACGGGAAGTCGAGCAGATCCTTTCCAACATCAGCTCGTTTCAAGTATCCTGTGTCCAGCAAGTTATCAAGGAATGGGAGGGTCACCTGCAAAACATGTGACGGTGGTACAACAACCTCCTCTTCAGATTCAACCTCCGATACTAAGCCAGCCTGGTCAACAACAATACGTGCCCGTTAGCGTAATGGAACCAAGCGGAAGACAAATGTTGCTCACGGTTAGTTCTGTCTTTTTATTTTTGTAATAATTTAATACTCTATGGCATATTGTACATTAATCTCATGGACTACGAAATAATATAGGGACGGAGGATAAAGAGTGATAATAGATGGGGGGAGTGAGACCTCTCAGGAGAGGAAGGATTAGTAATGCCAATTCACTTGTGTCTACTAGTTTAATGACTTATGAGCCTTTCCGTTACTTGGTTACGATGAATGAAAATGCACTTCGAAATTTATAAATTTATTTTTTTGTATTATTTCACTGATTCAGAGGAAGTAACAGAAATAAGTGCGGAGTTTTGGAGAGTGTAAATTAGATGCAAATAAATAATCGCATGGTGAGTTCAGCAACGTGGTTAATCTGAAGCTAATTCTGTAAAAGTATTGAAGCTACATCGACGGAAAATGTAATTACCGATTATCGAACGTTCAAGGTAAACAAACAAGTCGGCAATATTATTGGTAATATTGTAGTAGTTGGCGCTAATTGACAGAAATCCGTGAATTTATAAATATAGTAGTAAGATTGTAATATTCCTGTTTTGATAATAATCCTGCGACAGTTGCACAGTATGAGTAACAAATAAAATATAGTCACACAGCCGCCACGCCTCCTCCACTGTCTAGTATACACTTCGTCTATATATTATTCCGTAGTCCATGATATACCCGTTTTATTTTAGAATTGAATTTATAAAATTTACACCTTTATTAAATTCTATCGGGTTGTTCGGAAAGTCATTTCGTTTTTTTTTGTGAAAATGAAAGACGGTTTTCGTATAATAAACAAATACTTTATTAAATTATATATTGACCGTTCTGATCCAACACCTTTTGCCATCTTTCTGGTAGTAGCATAATTCCACGCTCATAAAATTTTTGGTCTTTGCTGGCAAAAAACTGATCGAGGTGGTTTTTGACCTCCTCATTTGAGGTGAAGGTTTTACCGTCTAAAAAATTTTGGAGTGACCGGAACAAATAATAATCCGATGGTGTCTGGAGAATATAGTGGGTGTAGCATTGTATCCCATTCAAGCTGTAAAAGCTTTTGGCGAGTGACCAAACTTGTGTGAGGTCTCGCGTTGTCTTGGTGAAACACTACACCTTTCCTGTTGATTAGTTCTGACCTTTTCTGTTGAAGTGCATCATTCAGTTTGTCCAGCTGATGACAGTAGACTTCCGAATTAATCGTTGTGTTATCCGGTAAAAGCTCAAAAAAACGATTCCTTTAAAATCCCACCAAACAGACAGCATCACCTTTTTTTGGTGAATATCGGCTTTGGAAATGGTTTGAGCCGGTTCATCTTTTTTGCTCCATTACCTCTTGCTTTTGACGTTGTTGTATACAACCCATTTTTCGTCCCCAGTGATGATGCGCTTCAAAAACGGATCATTTTCGTGACGTTTGAGAAGCGAATCGCAGACGTCAATGCGGCGATGTGAGAACATGGGGAACCCATACATCGAGCTTCGAGGATAATCCCAGGCCTTTCAAGTGGTCATAAACTGTTGAATTTGATAAATTTACATTCACATTTAAATTCACATCAACTAATGCCTTTATCGCGTGTTTATATCAGCTTCAACCGGCCTTCCCGAACGTGGTGCATCTTCGACATCAAAATTGCCGGATCGAAATTTAGCGAACCAGTTCTGGCACTGGCGTACTGTCAACACACCTTCTCCATACACATCCGTCAATTTCTTTCTGGCTTGAACAGCATTTTTACCCTTTCTGTAGTAAAACAGTAAGATATGTCGAAAATGCTGCTTATCGCTCTCCATATTTAAAAGGGCACCAACCAAAAACTACTGCGTAGAATTAATTTTTCACACACAAGCCTTACTATATGACCTCTCAAAGCATATAAAAATTATACGGCTTAAATGTGAAGTTGGGTGCAAAAGAATGCAATTAAATCCTCTGTCGGGAAAAAACGAAATGACTTTCCAAACAACCCGATATATATTCGTATTTATATTATACACATTTCATTTTATAGAATGCCGTACAAACCTCTTGGCCAACTAATCGTCAAATGGCGATAGTACCATCGTGGCAACAAATACCCCCCCAACACGCAGCCACTATCCAGCAGCCTTTATTATCGGACGCACCAGAATGGGGGCGCCCCCTTATAGTCGATTCCACGGCCATTCTGCAGGAGCAAAGGCAAGTATTTCCCGTTGATGTAACTGCTGAGGTCTATAATCCAGCGTTGGTGGAGCATACTGCCACCAACTGGAGTACCAGCAAGAGAGGAATCAAGAACCATCATATGCAGCCTGCTAGTTCTCATCATACTAGTCACCATCATTTGATGGTACCAGCTCATCATAAGTGAGTGTTCCGTTATTTATAATGTAAAATAATAAAACACTTGCTTTTTTGTAATTAAGGTCTCATCATGAAAAGAAGGAACAAACTCAATTAAGTCCCGTTAAAAAACGTGTAAAAGAGAGCACGCCTCCATCAGAACACCTCAGTAATTCTTACAGTGGCAGTAACAGAAGGAATTTTAGTCCTAACAGTAATGGACATTGGCAACATGTACAACAACCGCAAGTAAGTATCGGTTTTCTCAAATGAAGCATGATTAATACTGACATTAGTAAACATTGTTTATTTATATTATTAACAACAATTTTTTGAAATTTCAGAACAATAGTAAGCACTCGCATTCTTACAATCACAATCACGCGCCGGCATCCTCTTCTAATAACAGGAGCAACCATCACCACCATCATCATCATCGTCATCACCGCCAGCATACGATAACGATAAACGATACTCCTTCTCCTGCTGTATCAGTGATAACTATATCGGACAGTGAAGATGACAGCAGCGGCGGAAGCAACGGTAGCATAGGAGGAATTTCGACCTCAAGAACAGTCGTAGCTCCACCTTCTAAACCAAATAGTTCGAATAGGAATAGTGGCGCACCTCCATCTATTAGCAATATTGAAGGTAATTGCCATTCATCTGGAAACGGAAGTAATCATCATAAGAATGTGGTAAATTGCGTTACTTTACCAGACAGTGATAACGAAGTTGATAATCGTACTCCTGACAAGGTAAGCTAAGGAAGGAATGTGTGTAGGATAATTGACTAGAGATCATACAATTTTTATTTATCCCTTTAATTTATAGCATCACCAATCCAGCAGCGGTTATCATCAGCAGATAATTAAACACGAGCCTCCTGTTCAACCTTCAATTGCGACGTCGTCGTCTTCGTCTTCTGGGAGCAGTTATGCACAGTCGCAGAAGAAACGTCTTCTTGCAAAAGCGCAATCAGAATGCATGCTGAGTGTTCCCACAAAACAGGAGCCGGTTGAATATCACCAGCAGAACAGATCAAACGAGTATCTTGTACCTCCTCAATCACAATCGCAGGCCCATTCTAGTTCACATTGTACCTCTGCCTGCAAGGAGCTGACTCAGTACCACTACATTAATTCATCGAATGGAAATGATGGACAAGTAAGCGATTGATTTAACCTATAAATTATGTATTAAGAAAGGAATGATACTGTCGATTTTTGTACATGGTTTAGTTTATCGGTTAATGGTGTGTTTGTTACTTTAGGTGTTATTTTTAATAATTAGGATTTTTTAATAATTATAGGAGCAGCATGTGATCTATTCCTCGAATGACAAAAGAGTATCGTGGGCACCCCCCCCGACGGCTCATGCTCCTAGTTCATCTCATAGAAGACATTCGGTAGTACCTGCGGTAAATTTGAGAGACTACAATCTGACAGCGCAACAGCATAAGGATTATGTACAACCACCCGCTGCTCACAGCACAAGGGATAACTTATTAGCTCAGTCTAAAAACTGGGGCCCACTACAAACTGTTCACCAAACATACAGGTAAGCAGAACATTTTTGTGTTAAACAATTTCCGATTTAAAGTATTACTAATAGTACATATAGGTATATATCATTTTTGTTATTACCGTCTTTAGCAAATAATTTTCTTTTTCTATTATTTTTACATTTCCCCAGTCGAACTCATGGAAAAGTACAATTTTCCACCGTTTCGTCCGTAGCTAACTGAGAGATTGAGAAACACACAGACACACCTACGGTAGCGCATTATTATATATCATTACACATAATATCATATCATCATAAGGTCGTCAGTACTAAGACTGGTTGGACATGCATCTCCACTCTTTCTTATCCTGAGCTAATCTTCGCATTTCCCTAAAACTAAAACATCTCACATCTTTAACTGTAATTTAATCTAGATCAACCTCTACTCTTTTTAACTCCTGTTTCTGGCACTAATACGTCTCTTAAACTAGCCCTTCGTGCCTGAGCAGGTGCTCTACTAACCTATCTCGCCTACTTCTTATGGATTTCCGTAGAGTCCACTGTTCACCTATTCTTTCTCATACCTCTTCATTTCTAACCTTCTCTATCTACGAAATCCTCATCATTCGCCTGTAACACCACATTTCGAACGCTTCTAATCTTTTCTTTTTTGCCGCGGTTACCGTCCATGTTTCGAACCCGTACAGCGCCATGCTCTAAACATACACGTTTAATAATCTTTGAATTTTTAAATTTACCGTTAGCGAGCATAGAAGTGACTTCTTTCTATTAAAGATGACTCGACCTTCGCTATCCTCTGCTTTATATCCCTACTGTACCTCCCGTCCTAACTTATCTGTCTTCCTAGAGCACTATGAAACATGAAAATACTAAGTACTTATATAATTCCGACTCTGGTAAGGAAATACTACCCCCAACGCTGCACTCAATCAGCTAGTGATTATAAGCAGCTGTGTAGTATTTGTTTTGTATTTTCTGCTCACATATTGTTTATTTGTTAGATTAGATTAAGTGTGATTGAGGGTGTTTATGTTAACAATCAATCTCTAGTAGCAGTTTATTCTTTTAACGTTTATACTTTGTATGAAGTAATCGATGTGTAATTCAATAAACTAATTCAACAATACAACATCAATCATTAAGGTGGGTCGGTCACTGTAGAACAGTCATTACATTACTGTGACTTGATACATATTTACGAGTTTAAATTAGATTGCTTCTGTAGGGACGAAATCCTTGATTTCAAAGAAAACAATCCCAAAAATAGCATACGCAAAATAACAGAGACGTTGGCTCTTCTCAATCTGGTGTTTGAAGAAATAGTTGCTGCATCCTTATCATGTGCAGTGTGTCTAGCCTTTGCTCGAAAATGATTTCCAGCCGCGAGTGGATTTGTATCGATGGTTTTGAATGAAAAGTGTTGCATAACCTATTTTTTCCATAGGGTATTGTTTACAGATTCATTTGCTTCACGCGGAATTTTCACAATAATCATTATTGGTGCAACGTAAACTCGCATTCAAGAAATGTCTACGGTAAATGTTTGGTGCGCAATTCATAGAGGGTTATTTGAATTTTTTAATAAAATTGCAATAATCCAGATGGTGCTCATTTACAGATTAATGTTTACGTATCTTAATGTTTTTTCTTTATTTTGTGTTTACATCCTCCAAAGTCCGGCAGATATTTTTGTTACACCTTCTGTATATACTAACAATTCTGCTTTTGTGACAATATAAAAATGTGCGGAATCACTGATAATGTTATATACAAGAATTGCGAGATGCTCTTCCACTATGTTTATTTTACAATTATATCACTAAATATCTGCCAAACGATATAGAAAAACTATTACATGAAAATTGGTGTGGCAACACTCGTATGAAAAGGCTATGAAAAATAGCAATAAGTAATGAGAAATGGTTAGATGTTGATGCTTTCACAAAAAACTATACAACGTTTTGAGCTATGCTTAATTAAAAACAAGTATAGTTAACCAGAAGATATAGTACGTTTATGGCTTTGACTTCCTGAGCGATTTACAATACACCCGGATGTTCAAAGTAATAAAGTACTTCATTTGGGTGATGTTTGTACCTCAACAGCGAGCGTTATGGTCCGTCTTAGGTAAAATTATTGTTTGAAAGAAATTATTTCTTCAAATTGTACCTAATATTTATTTGAAATACATACAGATAAATTCCGATAGTGAGATTGGAAAATGTAAATAACAGTTAAAGAAAAATGTATAATTAACAAAAGGATAATTACGATTACAGCTAAAGTTTTTTTGTAGTCCGAATATACATAAAAATTGCTATTTTCTATGCTTCAAAAGTTATTAGAAAATATGTTTTTTTAGAAGCAAATATTTTATATATATTTATTAAATATAAAAAA